CTTATTTAATGAAATTTAAATGCCCCTGGGTCTTTCCTAATGTTCTCTAGGATTGAATTTCTTGGAGCGGGTAAAAGTTCTGTAGATTAACTGAACAAACTGGTGTTTGTGCTAAATCCTTTCAGAATAACGAGGCCAATTCAGCAAGAATTCAAATCTTGAATGGTAAGGAACTAGACAGGGATGAAAGACGGAAAAAGGAAACAAAAGAAAGTAACAATGACTTTAAACCTTCAGCCAGCAACACATGGATGCACAAAGAGAATGAAGGCAGAACAAAGGGACCACAACTCAAATAATTTTTCACAAAATAACTGAACTTCCTATTGGCATCCATATTTGATCGGTAGATCAAGTGTCTACCAACTTTAACTGTTTCATGTCTGAAACTCTTGGAGAGAGATTTCTTTTCATTCACTACATCAGGGGTGTCAAACTCAATTTCATTGAGGGCTGCGTCAGCGTTGTATTTGACCTTGGGGGGCTAGGGTGAGTGTGCCTGGGGTAGGTGTGGCCAGCTCAGTGTCACTCATGTCAGGGGCACCTGTGGTGGCCCGAGCGCTCTACCAGCGAAAGTGGGCTCCCAAGCTCCATTTTCGACTGTGACCGCCTCTTGCAACCCTCTGCCAGTGAAAACAGAACTCCATTTTGCCCTCCTGAACTCCATTTTTGCTGGCAGAGGCACTGTGAGCCAGTCCTTCACTGTTTCTAGGGTGGCCCTGCGGGCCAGATCTAAGCTCCCCATGGGCCAGATCCGGCCCACAGACCTTAAGTTTGACCCCCCTGCACTACATGATCCCTTCAGATCATTATGATGACCTTGCTCAGCTATTACAGCTTTCCAGGTGATCTTTCTTTCCTTACCAGGAACTAATGCATTAGGCAAAAATATGTAGGGCACAGCCAATTTCTCCAGTCCTTTATTAGTCATCCAAAGGAAGTGTAAATTGATTCTGGGCATTCTTGCAAAGAATACAGTATCAACACTCATTATAGTAATGCCTCTGATGGATTAGAGGTTCAAAAGTTGGCGAATGTTTCTGTAAAAAACTGCTCTTAATCGTAAGAGCTATAAGGATCGATTGAACTGATATTTGAAATAAGTGGACAATTCTCAGCTAATACTATATTGCTATTAGAAAAAAAAATCAAGATTCCATGTAACTCAGAAGAATTCTAAAGTAAGGATTATCATGTACTCTGACTCTCTCTTCCTCTTTCCTGGCAGAGAGATTTGTTTAAGAAGTAAAGTAAATGAGGTGGTACTAAGAACTTTGAGTATATTCATATTTAGTCTGCATTACTATTCCTAACTACTCACAAGGTATACATTTTGCAATGCCATAATTAATTGTACCTCTCATCTAGTGCTTTTTCCATACAGAAAAGACTTGCTATTTTTGACTTGGGTAACTAGAAAACTGTTTCGTGGGAAAAAAATTTAGACAACAAAATGAAAAACGTCCATCACAAAACAAGAAATGCACATTGGGAGAGTAAAAATAACAGGATTAATACATGTTTTCTTAATGCAATCCTCATTATTTTAGCAGGTTTTTCTTTTTTTTCTTTTTTTTTTTTGCAAAACGAAGTTTGTACCAGTATCAGATTGAAAAGTCATGGCCAGTTTGCATGGTGCTGGTAAGACAGTACTATATTTTAAATGACAAAAATGTAGTGCAAAGTCTGCATTACTTAAGTCCTAAGTAATAAAAAGTTAGGTGTCTTTCTAGATAACCTACCTTGTAAGATTGTGCGGATAAAACCGGGCACAGGTAACATGGCTTTTGGGGTTGCTTGGAAGAATAGCATTAGAATAGCAAATTATATGCAAGTTTGAATTCCTCATGTTATACTTTGTTACTAGGCAATTATTTTATTATTTCAATTATACAACATCTATCACATTTTTCCCTGTAGAAAGGATATTTAAGGATGCTTAAAAGTATCCATTCCTACATAATGATGATGTATATATAGCTATCCGGACCTTATCTTTCATTTCTTTGGTTAAAGAAGCTATTGATTGTACTAAGCCTAATACTTAACAAAAAGTACTAAATATCTTGGATTTAGCTTTAGTCTAAATTCTATCATAGTCATTCTGAATTTCATTTTTTAAATACTTGTGATTTCACTGGATTGTTTTTTTCCAATTGATATTAAATTATGAAGGAAAATACTCCCCTAGACATTAAATTAAAGAAGTCTCACCATCCATTCCTAGCATTTAGATAAAGATAAGATAAAGATAAATCCTGGTTTGGGCAGCCCTGACAGGTTTATTGGGGTAAGAGCTCATATAAAAGAAGCTGATGAAGAACAATGCTAGTAGAAATTTACAAATTAAAGTATTTTGGAGGATAAATACATTTATTTATTTTTATCTCATCTTTATTGTTTTTACAAATAAGGAAGCAAACATATCCAACACACCTTCCTCCTCCTGTTTTCCCCACAACAACCATCCTGTGAGGTGGATTGGGTTGAGAGAGATTAACTGGCCCACCCAGCTAGCTCTCATGGCTAAGGTGGTACTTGAACTTATGATCTCTTGCTTTCTAACCTGGTGCAGAGGTGGTATTCAGCAGGTTCTGACCAGTTCTGGAGAACCGGTAGCGGAAATTTTGAGTAGTTCGGAGAACCGGTAAATACCACCTCTGACTGGCCCCACCCCCATCTATTCTCTGCCTCCCGAGTCCCAGCTGATCGGGAGGAAATGGGGATTTTGCAGTAACCTTCCCCTGGAGTGGGGAGGAAATGGAGATTTTACAGTATCCAGGAGTGAACATGTCAGACAGAACAGAGTTTCTCTAATCAACTCATAATATAAATGTAAGATTGTATTATTTAGGCAAGCTATTGGTTGAAGAAGAAATGCTAATTGAATTATTCTCTGGAAAAGTAAAATAACTGAATTCTTCTACTGGACTACCAAAAAGTATTTCTCTAATAATACATTTAATAAATTTCATTATAGAATAGTTGATATATCTTCCATTTAAATATTATTTTCTGCAGTCAATAGTCAACTATGGAATAGTTCATATATCTTCCATTTAAATATTTTCCTTTTCAGCTACACGAGGCAGCTATAACCTAACTTCTAGGATGCTATAAAAAGTTATAAAAGGAAGTAATTTTCTATTGCCCTTTGGGATATAAATAATTACAGTTAGGATCTGAAAGAAGATTGAACAAAACAGCATGCAAGCTTTTGAGTTTTTAATACCCCTTTATCAGAAAGATATTTTAAAATCTCAGAGATTAAAGAAGAACTATGCAAAAAAAAAAAAAAGGTATTTAACCTTGTTTGCACCAGTATGGTATTGCACCTGGTGAACTCCTATAGTGGCCTGGTTATTTCTAAAAATTAGTTTACGGTAGTAGTTTAAAAATAGAAACACTCAACTTGAGGGTTCTGATATTTCTACATGGATTCCGTAGGCATTCTAACAGAATAAAAAAAAAATTGTTCCCATGCCCAAGAAAAAGACAAAAAGCAAGGTGAGATACAGACACTATCATAAGGAATTAGAGGAAATTATCTTCATCAGCTTTCCTTCTAATAAACAGATTTTTCTTCTTGGTCCTGGCTACCAAGGCAGCCATTTTGTAAACGAGCAAAAACTTCATTTCCTTGGTAACAATATTCTGAGATGCTGCCAACATCCCCATTGCGCCATTGGCCAAACCCAAATGCCCTTCAGCATTTGAATTTCTTTTTTGCTCCATTCATTCCGTAATGGTATGTGGGAATGATCTTGGGAGAAAAGGAGGAAATGCCATAGACTACATTGGTCTGATAATCAAAATTTGAGTTTGAAGGCATATGGTAAAATAAAACATCTCCCTACTTTTCAAGAGCAAAAGTGAAGGCAGAAGAGATTGCAAGGTTCTGTTAACACAACCTTACAATAAAGATAGGATTAATATTCATTGTTATGCTCGTTATCTCGACTACCTCAAAGGGCTCACAGTGGCTAATAATTGTAGGATCTGCTGTTTGAGCTTTGGACTGGGGCCATAACATGTGTTAGCAGGAGGTATTCCAGCCATATGGAATCTGGAAGAATGATCTCATTCCACTTCCATGAGAACTTAAAACTGTTTAGCCTTCTAAAAAATTCCTTAATTTACAAAGGAATGAAACAACCATTCTTTTTCTTTTTTTTAATTCCTTCTGAACAAGCCTGCAGGCAGCCACCATATTTATACAAGACATGCATACATGACATACGTTCACACATGGACAGACACATCTTGATGAGAAAAACCAGAAATAAGCTTATTATAGCTGTCAAAACTCACGAGAGAAAGCATGCATACATCTTTGCCAGGATGTCACTTTCTCAAAGATTTATTAAACAAAAGAGTTACAGGTACAAACCGCATATAATCTGAAATATTCACAAAAGAACACATCTCCTGGATGGGCTTTGGAAACTTTTTTTTTTTTTGAAGCTGTTCTGATCATTTCAAAGAATGTGATTACAAGCTGAAGTGGTAAAATTATAATGAGAAATGAATCCCCTTCAGCTGTGTTTCTCAGCCTTAGCCACTTGAAGTTGTATGAACGTCAATTTCCAGAATTCTCCAATCAGCATGGCAGACTGGAGAATTCTGGGAGGTGAAGTCCACACATTTTCAAGGGGCCAACATTGTGAAACACTGCCCTGCAGTAAAAATAAATAAATAAGGCAAGGCACCACTTCTATAGAGAAAAACAATACCACAAGAGTAAAAGCTCTATGTTAACTAAGATACATAAAGCTAAGATACTTTGGAAGCGAAGGAATTACAACCCAAGTCTGGTACCGTAACCTGCAAAACTGACTTCTCTAGGAAGGAAAAGGCAATAGAGAACAATCAATACAGAACATCTCCCTAAAGAAGCTAATGTTTGTATTTGTTTCCTGTCATAAACAAATGACAGATTGTTACCAGATCTCATAAAAATTAAGATGGTTCTTTAGTATTTTTCAACAAGTTTTTCTTACCGGGTTGTCTTCAATATCTTTCAATCCACAAGCAATGTAAAAATCCGGAAACATCTCTGACCATCCTTTACTTGTACAGTTTTTGCTGATATTTCCTAAGAAAATGAACAAAGAGGAGAACGGCAATATATTTTATGAACATCAGATATTCCCACCCCCAATAAGTCAACAAAACATCTAACCCCGCAGTGGGTTGCCCCCAGTTCGGACCGGTTCACAAGAACTAGTAGTAAAACTGGCGGGAGGCTCCGCCCACCGCCCTGGATGTCGTCATCGGTGATCTGCACATGCACAATCCCGTTGCGAACTGGTAGTAAAGGTAAGTAGAACCCATCCCTGGTCCAACCTTAAAATTATTTGTTAGATCATCTACTTTTATTTAATTATTTAATAGCACTTAGCAATAGCACTTAGACTTATATACCACTTCACAGTGCTTTACAGCCCTGTCTAAACAATGTGTTAACAGAGTCAAAATATTGCCCCCAACAATCTGGGTCCATCATAATCTTTTCTAACCTTATGGATTCCAGATAAATTGAGACTACAGCTCTAAGAACTCCTAACTAGCATGGACAATTAGCACAGCTCTGATCTGTGCTAAGTGATAATGTGTTGTATTTCCAAGTGTTTTTCCTATTGGAATAACAATACTTTGGGAAAACTGATCTGCTTTGTATTCAAATATATCATACAAAGTTTAATATCTCATTTATTGTCCCAAAAGAATGTAAGGTTTCTGATAGATTTGAGTGTCATCTAGAGGCTTTACAGAAGTTCCCAGTGAATTGTGATTCTAATTTGAGATACAGAATTAAGAAATATTTGATGCTATGACCAATATTTAATTCAAGAAAAATCTAAACAAAATTAAATCAAATCTCTATTCCACCTGTTGCTCTTTTTTTTGTTTTTGAGTGCAAATATCACCAACAGTTAAAATCTGGTTTTTGGTCCAAGTTAATTACAGTTACTCTGTTCAGAAAAATATATAAAGAGCAGTACATATATAAATGCCCAGTGACATTTAGTTGGGTGAGTTAAGGTTTCTCCCACATAATCCACATGTCACAAGATTCAGCAAAAAAAAAAAAAAGTAGCTTATTAAAAAGCCAAGCTAGGTAATCAAAGCTTCAACCCATAACTCACCAGACAAGACAATGTCAAAATCCAAGAAATCTGTCCAACTGTCAGAGTTGGATGTAAAACAGCTGGCCATAGGAGAGAACAAGATATTGGGACTAGGAATAAGCCATTTTTGGAAAAAATGGAAAGATTTATATAAAAATGTTTCTTTGCGCTCAACAGAACTGTATGTATATAATTCAGTTTTGATGTAAGTTGATTTTGAAACAAAAATGATTCCCAAATAGATCACTCTATTCACTCTAGGTTTTTCTTTGCAATCTCATATTCCTCAACTCTCAGACCTTCGATTCTACATTACTTTTTGCACCCATGCGAAGCTTTCTTGCTTGTCATGATGGGATCTGGTTTACTGCACAGACTTATTTTGATTCCCTCTTCATTTTCTGAGGATGTGTCTGTCATTAAAGATATGACAACTGTTCAAGGAAACTCAGTGACCAGAAAAAAATTGTTTAACGTTTAAAGATCATTTGGCAGACATATGTAGCTTTAGATACAACTAATCTGACACTATAAATATGCCGGATGGGAAAATAATTTAAATTAAATTGTCTCCATAAAAACCTCTCATTACTCAACACCATTATTCAAAGTGATTTTGAATGACCTGTGGCAGGAGTATCAAAGGCTTCAGTTCCTGTGACGGATTACTAGTCGGAGATAAATGCATGTCTGACACACAAGAATGGCAAAAATGCATTTTTTAAAAGACTCATCCAAACATGGAAGAAGGACTAAAGTTGAGGAAGAGATTTTTGGACAATTCTACGTGTCCTCTTAATCTACTTGTCTCCTCCATTGATCAGAGTTGTTCCTGAAGCTGACTTAACAAATTCCAATCCAATGGTCCTCAAGGAGGTGGTAATCTATGGCCACCTCAAACCCTGATTGGTCTTTTCTCTGCCTCTTGCTCTTCATGTCTGGACAGGGAGGGCAAACTTTATCGTCTGGCCCCATATAGGAGCGGAGGTTTATCAGTGCCTGCCTTTTCCATTTAGGGCAGTGTTTTTCAACCTTGGCAACTTCCATATATATGGGCTTCAAATCCCAGAGTCCCCTAGCCAGCCATGTTAGCAAATATATCATCCATTCCTACATTAAAGAAATGGTGGGGTGGCTGATACAGGAACAAAAAGGAAGCACAGATCTGTTCCCAGAATGAGGGGCATGTTAGAGGGCCTCCTTACGATTCTTTTGAAGCATGCAAGAAAATGAATTTGACTTTCAAATGCTCTGCTAGACTTCCCCTACTTTCTATCTTCATAATAAAAAACTTATCATAAGCCAACAAATGATCAGAGAAAAAAATTTCTTTTCATTAAACTTCAAGGCCATAAAATACTTTCCATTGTCCTTAACTTTGTTCAAGACTATTTTCTTGATATAGTCAGTATCTGAAGTTGCAACAATAGAGGTGCACGTCACTTGCTGAGATAGTGGTTACATCTGTCTTAAAACACATGTCTTAAGAGGCACCTGCCAGATACATTTTCCTTTCAATCTGTATGCCACCTAATGAAATAACCATTCTTTCCAACATTTAAAACACAGAGAAACCAAAGATACATGTCAGTCCAAATTACAGAAAGACATTTTAAATACCTTGTTTGCTGAAAAAATTGCTGAAGATTTTCGGACAAGGGACTGTTACAGTTTCTCCAATTTCTGCAGAATGCCAGCAGGTAATGTTATCCCAGACTCCAACACATCCTGGAAAAATAAGTAGAAAATGTTCAACTTATTGAGCAAATTAATGTTTCCAGAGGAAACAACAATACCAACAATTCTCCAATGTGAAAAGTGGTGCAGCAAGTTGACTAGTGTCCAAAATGCAATGACATGACGGAGCCAAGGTGTATGCATGTGTCTGCAGAGGGAGTTATAACTTTGAGAACAGGTTCTAACTAGTTTTTTAAAAATCCATTCTAACTTCAGAAAATCATTAAACCCCTGACTGTAAGTCAAGGGCTACCTAGATTTGGACGCTTTGCTGAAATTCTACATAAGACAGAAAGAATGGCATCAACAATAATGTAGGGATGGTTCAGTGTGTCAGTTGGTGTTATGTGATAGAGCGTAAATAACACATGAAATGTGTTATGTGACAGAGCGTAAATAATACTAAAATAGAAGTTTATGAGTAATGGGTCAAGTGTTCTACTCTATTAAACTTCTAGTGTGATGGGAATAAGATCAGCAAGGATTCCACTGGTATTGTATTTAACATTCATGTAAATATTTTCACGGAGCAGTATGATTTGTCCAAGTAACAGGAAGTCAAAGGAAAATGCCTCCCTAATCTTTCTGTTAGAAATTGCATCAAACGCTAACTTCAGGCCAATGGTAGAGAATGATACACTGAGCAGAGGTTAATAGAACCAATAATGTTACCTAATTGGGTAATGAAATGTATGCAAGAAACAACCAAGCTCAGAGAGCACCAAAGATTGACAGTTCTGCTTTGAGCTGCAAATATAATCTTTTATTGATATCATATGTAGATGTCAAATGCATCACACAGCTCATCCTAGCATTGATGATGTTACGTAGTTGAGTACTAAAACATCTGCAAGAAAGCAACCAAGTTCAGAGAGCACAGGGACCCCATAGAGATTAAATGTCTAGATCTAAATCTGAATCAGTTAAATCTGTTTCTTTGCTATTTAACAGAGGCAGGCACGGGATAGATCAAAGCAATGTTTCTCAACATGGATGACTCCAAGTGACATGGACTTCAATCCTCTGAATTATTAACATTGGCACCATGATGGCTGAGAAGTTATGGGAGTTGAAGTTTTCACATCTGGAAGTTGCCGGGTTGGGAAATACTTAGACCAAAAGATGAAATAAAAGTAGATATTCAGTGTTGCAAGCAAAAGATAAATGACCATGCCTGAAGACAAAATAATAAGTCTTATTTGCAACCTATTATAATTTATATTACAACAGAAAAGAATAAAAGAGAATGACTTTGTCATTTGCTAAAAAGCAATGTTATGCATGATTATGTAGTAAGAAACACTAAGATGTTGGTCAGCATTATTATTATTTTCCAACTAGCATAATAAAACTAATATTCTTTATTAGGTTTACCTAACTGTATGAAATGCTGATACTTGTGAGATTAATAGATGCCACTCTTATATTTAAGCCCAACAAGTAGAATTATTTATTAAAGAAAGTAGAAATACTCTGTTAAACCAGCACAGAAAGAATTGCTTCAAATAAATGGACTGTATTTCAAAGGAACAGAAACTATTATGAGAGATAAATGATGGGCTAGAAACCACCATTTATTACAAATTACTTAAAAAAGTTATTACTTAACCATTCTTTGAGGTGGACTCTTAATAATGAGAATGATTTGAATTTAATATCAATGAATGATTAGTTAAAATATATTTATACAGCTGCTCTCCTGTCAGGCAAATGACTGCTCATGCAATTTCAAAGTAATTTTTCAAACCAGCTATCTATATATCAATGGGGAGCCAGCTTTTAATGATACCCATGTGTAAATCTTGTGTCTGAAGCTGCTTTCAAAATACTTCTAATCTTTATAAGGGCTGGCCATGCAAATGAAGAGGAATCCAACTAAAATAAAGCTTGGTAGCAGATGTTTATCTCCCTAACGATATCTACAGATTACAAATCCGTTCTTTTAATACATTTCTCTTTGACTGGTATAGTTTTAGTTTGATCTCTTAACTCCATGGATTTAGAATGTTTGCTGTCTAAACGTTAACTGATTCCTTTTAATGGAAAGCACTTTATGGTGAACTATGATTCTGCTGTCTAACCTAATGCTATTAACTCAGAACCTTTCTTAGTCATATATCTGGATTTTTTAAAATTAAGTAGCTATTTCCAACATTGGAAATGCTGATTTCCAACATTTCAGTCATAGATGAGATATGAAGGAATAAAAGTTATAATTATGAAAATCATTTATCACGACTATTGGTCATATTGGGGAAATATAGTTTAACATCTCCTAAGTTATAGGAAAAGCAAAATAGTCCTCATCTTTAAAAGGTCAGACTTTTTTTTTTTTTTTTTTAAAGATCTACATGATGTTCAACAACTTATGGAGAAAACCCTCTAAAATATGAATAGATGAATTTTGGCTTCTTAGCCTACCACATACCAACATGCATTTATGTATCCATTTGATTTCTATGGCCACTATCTCAAACTCATTACCTTGAGCAGCTAACAATATTGAAAAAAAGGCATAAAAACATAAAAAATAGAAAGACAAGATTTAAAGTCGAGTAAAAGTAATCCTAGTAATAACAAATCTGCATTATCAACATATGGGCTCAGAATCATTTCCTGACCCATACACTCCCACACCTCATGTCTTCCAAGCTTTACAAAAATTGGGGCCAGTTTAATCTCTGGGAGAATATTTGAAGTGATGGGCACCATGCAGGGGTGGGTTCTACTTACCTTTATTACCGGTTCACAACGGGGCCGCGCACCCTCTCCTGAGCATGCGCAGAAGTGTTCTGATGACGTTGGGGTTGGTGGGTGGAGTCTCCCACTGGTTTTACTACCGGTTCTATAGAACCGGTGCGAACCAGGGGCAATCCACCATGGCACCATGACAGAAAAGGCCAGATGGCACTCCTTAACAGATGGCACCTGGGCTGTACTTCTTCTGCAGATCTAATGGGATGGGGTGGGCATAATTAGGGAGAGGAAGTACCTCAAAGAACCCAATCCCATGCCATAAAAGTCTTTATAATTTATAACGAGCCCCTTGAACTCATCCAGAAGCAAACTGGCAACGAATGCAGCTGGAGAGCAAGAAGTTTCTGTACATTTGTAGCTTCCAGATCCTACAGGGCAGCCCCATGTAAAGCGCATTGCAGTAGTCCATTTAGAGGGTGATTAAAGCGGAAGCAACCATGAATAGATTGTGGTTGTTGTGGTTTAGGAAAGGATACCACTGGCACACAATACACATACCGTATCTGTGCAAAAGTCCTCCTGGCCAGGGCTACCTTGAACAGGAATTGGCAGTCTAGGGGGACCATGCGGATTGCACACTGATTTAGTATGAGCAATTTAATTGTTTTGCAAGCAAAAAGAACCAATTTTGTCTCCAGTCATTAAAAGTGCATTTAACAGCTGATATTAGAAAATGATCAAATTATTGTTTCCCATGTGAAATATATCTGCACATCAAGCTCTCCTAGAGGCACAAGAACAGCTTTGCTTATGGCTAATTGGACACATTTGCTGGTTTCTGAAGACTGTGTAAATCCTAAGTAGCAATCCCTAAGCTTGTTTGAACTTTTGTGTCCCATTATTTAACTTAATATCTAATCATTATTTATTTGATAGAGGCAATGTACAGCAGAAGCCTTTGTAGCAATATGCATGGAGAGCTAGTGTGGTTTTACATCTGCATCACAAATTAAATGAAACCAAAACTTGTTTTACTCTCAGTTCTCTAGAAGGCAATAAGCCAGGGCTGGTCAATGAACGTTTTCAAGGGGCCACATGAGAAATTGGGACTTCTGTGGAGGGCCCCCACTAGAGTCCCCTATTGCTGCCCATTACCCTGTCAGAGCTGCCCAACCTCTCCTGATGCTGCCCCACTTCCTGCCAATGCCATGGATCAGACAGGGCTAGCTGAAGGGTTGGATATGGTCCATGGGTCAGTAGGTTGACTTCTAATTAAATATTCAGTTCAAATTTCCATTCAGCTGTGAAGTTCCCAAATTCAACAATGCCTCTATGTCAAGCAGTTACTACAGGTAACTCTTGATTTACAACCAAAATTGAACCCAACATTTTTGTTGCTAAGTAAGGCCAGGGTGGGCATGGCCAGCTCAACGTCACTCATGTTGTTAGGGTTGCCTTTGGAAGCCTGAGCACTCTGCCAGTGAAAACGGGCTCCTGAGCTCCATTTCGGCCTGTGTTATGGCCTCCTGCAACCCTCTGGCAGGGAAAACAGAGCCCGGGAGGGCCGCACGCAGCCCTCCTAAGCTCCATTTTCACTGGCAGGCGCACCACAAGCCAGTCCACTGTTTCCAGGGTAGCCCCGCAGGCCAGATCTAAGCACCCTGCGGGCTGGATCCGGTCCCCAGGCCTTGAATTTGACACTCCTGCCTTACGGAACATTTGAAATCTTAATCCTCATTCTAGACATCCTGGATATACTGAATATGCAATTCGCAGCATATAAAATTGCATCCAACATGTATGCATTAAGCAAACATCTGCATTAAAATGCATATTAGTTTTTGAAAGCTTTTTTTTTTTTAAAAAAACAAAACCTGACCATTGATGTGTAAATGGGATGAAATAAGCATTACCTTGAAAAATATACAAATGTTACAAAATTACAAAATTAATCCATCCTTTAGAGCAAACTACTTTCTGCTTTATTCACTAGTGTCTTTTTACTTTGAAATAAAATTCTTCAGTTGATACGAAGCAAACTCCTATATAAATAAGTAAAACATCTTCAGAATATTTAAACATATAGTATTGGCTTTGTTGCATTTGCTGACTGCCTGAAGAATTTGCGGAATATTTACACACATTATAAGTGAGTTTCTCATAATTCTCAGAAAAGGTCATAAATGTCTGCAATCATAATTTTTAATATAGGTTTTATTGAAGGTTTTACAAAGAACATAAAAACTAACACAAACCAACAAAGAATAAAAGAAGCAAGGAAGAAAGAGTGGGGG